ACTTTGAAAAATGGGGTAGAAATCTATTTGATATTTCTTTAATATTCCACTGCTCTTCAGTCCCTTTTCAAATTGGTAATATTTGTATTATGGTGACTGTGTTTATTAGCCTTTTTTCATCACATTATTCCATTTCCTCACCCTCCAACCCTTTCGGAATGGTTGTGTATAAGAAGAAAAAAAACCCTATAAGAGCCTTTTCTCTGAACAATTCCATGTTACCAGCAGATGGTTCTCATTTGGCAAGGCTGAGATGGAGCAGTGTTCTCATAATCATTCCAAATAAAAAACATCTCCCTACAAATCAAGGAGTCCAGTGAGAGGTGATGTCCTCAGTATGTCTTTCAGCCAACGCTGGTACAAAAAGATGCATTCATCAGGAGGCCTTCTTGCATACACTGGCTGGAGCAGAAGACCTGTTCCATCTGATTTCTAAAATTCCACTTAAGATTCTGGGTATGAGAGTGTTTAGGTCAGGGATTGCTGGGGTCACCTTTAATCAGAAATAAAAGGACAAACAACATGCATTCAGAGCTTGGGTCATTTTAAAGTCTAATTAAGTGTAATATTTCCCCAGATGTGCCCTCATGAATAGGAATACTAAGATCTAGCCCTGTTAATAATGATCTAAAGCCAGCAGACAAGTTATAACCATTTCTAGGTTAAGGGTGAGGCTATGAAATTTTAATTTATGTTGTCATCCCTGAATAAGAGAGTGTTATTCTCATTCTTGGCTTAGGTTGGGAAATATTGAAAACAGTCATAATCCTGAACTCTAGCCAATAGTTACCTAGTTCAGTAGGATAGTTGTTCTGGAGGGATTAACCATGAATTTCACGCTTTTGGTAGGGTATAGAATTCTTTTCCAGTGTATGTCCTTTGAAGTTAAGCCAATTAATTTGTCAAAAGATGTGCTACCTTGATATTTGATGCCAATTCTTCAATTCTCAAACCCAGTGTGGGGTTTTTTTTCAGTGGAAACAATCCTAACATTGTTAAGGTGAGCTTCAATTTGTTCTGATACATAGTTTTTCTATATTCCCTCTTTTAACTTTTTATCTCACCACAAAATACACAGAAAATTCAAAGCGTCTATCTCTTTTCTTTAGTTCCTGGATACCTGTCCAAACAGGTTCATGTGTATGTACCTCTATTTAGACTACTGTCATATCCTGAGAGCAAAATTATATATTCCCTTTGACAGTCTGTCCTTGTGAGATCCTGTGCTAAAAACCGACAAATGTCTTACTTAGTGGTGACATGGTTGCAGCTCTAGGACATGAAGTCATTAATAAATTGCTCAGCAGTAACAGGCCTTTGAACCTAGAAGAAGTATGGCTTTACTAATTTTGCCATTAGAGAGGATGCATTTTTAGGGATGAGCAACAGATGTTATATTAAGTCTGATGACCCTGCCATAACTCTTTAAATAAGTACATGACTAAGCCTAACTTAACTGTTTTGAAAGACATCTAACAATACCACATTCATATAAATGAATGTGGCATATAAATCTGACAAACAAACAAACAAACAAACAAACAAACAAATAAATAAATAAATAAATAAATAAATAAATAAATACCAGAAAACAAAACCCTGTCTTTATTTTTCCCTGCTCATTATAATGGAAAAAGAAAGAAATATTTATATCATTTCTGTACTTTATGACACTAAGGTATGAAACTTGGAAGTGTACTTCTTTTAAGTGAATACAGTTGGCCAAATTTCAGGCAAATTATGAACAAGGAAAATTGTGCCAGGAACCTTTACATTTTAATTCTAAAACTTTTATGAATGGTTTTCAGCCAGGATTATTTATTTATTTATTTATTTATTTATTTATTTATTTTTCATATTTGTATACCGCCCTACTCCCGAAGGACTCAGGGCGGTGAACAGCCATAATAAATACAAATACATATAGAAATTAAAAACTATTAAGAAACAGATTAAGTAATTTAGGCTCAAAGATTAAAAACATCCAAATTTATCTAAAGAGGTTTAAAACCCAGTTTAAAAGCCAGTTTAAAAGCCAATTAAAAAGGGAGAGTTAGGCCAGACCAGCTTGTTGGAATAGAAATGTTTTCAGGGCACGGCGGAATATGCGTAAGTCTTGGATGTTTCGTAACTCCGGGGGATTAGATGACATTTTTAGGTCTAATTGACTTTTCAATTAAATAACTTAATTATATTGTCTTCATGGCATCCACAGCTGAGGCAATAGCTGAAGCAACTTAAAGTAGATTTAAAATGGTGTTTTCCCTCTTCTCCTAATAATGGTTTTAGGAGGGCTTCAATCTAGAATGTTTTATAATGATGTGGTTGCTAAAGCAGGCAGGAATGGCATCAGCTCAACTTCTGTTGGTCATTTAGATTAGATTAACAGAGTTGGAAGGGACCTTGTAGGTCATCTACTCCAACCCACCCACCCACCCCTGCCCAAGCAGGAGACCCTACACCATTTCTGCAAATGTCAGTCCAATCTCTTCTTGAAAGCCTCCAGTGATGAAGCCTCCACAACTTCCGAAGGCAACCTGTTCCATTGGTTGATTGTTCTGTCAGAAAATTTCTCCTTATTTCTAGGTTGAATCTCTCCTTGATCAGTTTTCATTCATTATTCCTTGTCTGGCCTTCAGGTACCTTGAAAAATAGTTTGACCCCTTCCTCGTGCTTACTCAAATATGCCTCTAGTCTCTGATCACTGGGAACTCTTGGGTTGTTTATCTGTTTTCTAAAATACAATTAGTTGGATCAAAATAGTGTTTCTATTTGAGATATAGCAGGGTTGAGATATTCTTGTTTTATTTCATTTTCCTCCTTTTAACCCATTACATATATCTGGAGGACCTTTGAATCACACACACAAAGAAATCAGCAAAATATAAACTTCTCTTTCTCTAATGGAAAAGTCCCATGAACAGCACTCTGGACTTACTCAGTATTAAGTGTGTTGCAGATCATTTCCTTTCAGACTTAGAATAAAACAAAACAAAACAAAAGATGTTTCTTGCTTTTATTTATTTTAATATATGTGTTCAGTCTGCCAGCAGACAGTACTCATCCAATGGAAGAAGGCTGGCTACAGTTAGACCCCTGCAATTTTCATTATCTTTCAAAAAAGTCCAATTCCTTCATTTAAGAGATTACATTTTACATTCTTGAACACTGAAACACAAAAGTTATATGCAACTTCCTCTAATTATCCTTAGATCAAAAATTTCCCCAATGTATTTCAAATTATTTTTTAATCTTTCTAAGAAGGAATGCAAAAGTAAGCCACAAAAAAGGCAGTAACCCCCTTCCCCCATTATTTGTAACATTTTGTCATTAATGTGTTGATTAAAGCAAATATTATAACCGCAGGGTAACAGCCAAGTCTAATGTGGATCTATCGATTCAATTTTTAAAAATCTAATTACATTTTGCTCGCATCATAAGAAATACAAAGGAAATTCCTCTTTGTTGTGGTTTGGATTTCCACATCTTGTGTAAATCTGCTCCCAATTTAGAATTGCACATTAGGTTCTGCTCTCAAATTTTCATTACATCTTGTTTTCTTCTTTGGATTTAGAAAACATTTTTGAATTGACCATGAGGCAAAATGACTGTAGAAACGCAGTCGGTTGGATTATGCTGGATAAAATCAGTGCTTTCTGTAGAAACATTTATTTGATTTATAATTTGCAATGAATAATTTAAGAAAAGGATTGTGCTTAGCTTCTGTAAAAAAAAAAAAGGGTGTGTGTGTGAATATAAATAAAATTTCCAGTTATCTTATGTCTTTTAATGATGCAATGATCCACTGGTGTTTTTTTTCTGTGTATCCGACCACAAGTTGGGAACTGGAAGCAAGAAAATATGCTTAAAGTGGAAAAAAAATATGAATAAAATTATGCACAGTGAGAGGAGAATTGCTTTCTTTCAAAGCACCTAGTCATCTAATGAAGCTGAGTAAGGAAAATTCAAAAGAAGCAAAAGGGATATTTTTCACAGAAAAAATATGTTATCTGATCTGTTGATGAACAATATGATAATAGCCAATAGCTCTAATGTGAGATTAAATATGTGTGGCAAATAAGGCACTACAATTTAATTACGGTAGCTAACAATTTTCCTTGGTACCCCTTCCTATGGTATCTGTGCGAAAGAGGCAAAGGATGTCAGATTGACAGAAGCAATATTGTGACATTGTGATGCAAGTTCTGTCCGTTTTATACACGTCGCAACAGATCTTCTCCCAACCCCTTCAGGGTTGAACAAAAGAGAAACCAGAAGTTTGAATTATATCAGGAATGGAACAGGTTTTTGGTCATGGAAAGAAACAGGAGATGTTAATATTGAGCTTTGTACTGGAAAATGCTGGCATCATCAGAATAACCGATACATTTTGTGTAACAGAAACCTTGGGCTGGCACAGTAACATGGTTGACCTCTTAAACTTTCAGATTTTGCCAGGGAACAATGTCATTGCAAATAAATAAAATCTTATCAGCAGTCCTATTTTTAATCTGAATGATACAATCACTTTGCCCTCCTTGAATGGCTATGTGATGTCCTCATTGTTTTTACGGACACCTTTTTTTTTTTAAAGTGCCACACCCACAACCAACTGGGATTTTGAAGACCAGTGATGTAGCGTACATGTAAAAGATAGGAAAGTTGATTTTATGAGTGTCATCGTTTAAATCATTTTTTTAAAGAAGGAACAGGTAAAAAAGAAACTGAGAAAGTATTTATGATTCTGTACAAATGATTTGCAATGGCAGTTTATTCATGACGGTGCTTTACGAAAAGTGTGGTATCTCAAAAGATCAAGATGATTGTGTTCTCTTCTCTCCCAAGTGTGACCATCTCAAGGGATTCCCCAGGCCATCTGCACACACACACACACACACACACACACACACACACACACACACATAATGAATTGACATTAAGGCAAAGCAGCAATTATTTTGTTTCATCACAAAGGAAACAAAGGAAAGGTGAACCAAAAGGAAGGAATATAGATGTATTTATTAAATTCTACCATACCAAAGTTTATCAGTGGTTTACAGTACATTATTAAACCAATGTTAAAATCAGTATAATCAGCAATGAAAGACCTGTTCAAAACAAAATAATGAGTGAGTGAGTGAGCATCCTCTGATTAACAGAAAGTTCATCCCAAAGGCTGTAAGGAAAGGATCACTCCTAAATGGTTATGAAATTTATTTGCAGGAACAAGACATTAATATCCTCAGAAGGTCACAAGTGGAAGAAGGAGGGTTACATAGAACACATTACTTGGGCAAATTGGGATAACCCATAGTAACCTTTAAAGGTAAGAAGCAACATTTCATATCTGAAAACAAAGCGGCAACTAACATAGGACTCCTGGCATGGATGGAGTGAAGTCACTTGAGTTTGTCCAAACAGCAACTGCCGGTAGCTTTGCTTGAGTCCTACTAGCTTCTTTACTTCTTATCTATCTACGTAGCTTGCAGGTTTAGTAAAAATGTCTGCTGCACAAATAGCTTAGTAGTTAGAGGTGTTATTCAGCCAGTTTGGACCAGTTTGCCCGAACTGGTCGCAGAAATCGCGGGTGGGCCTGCCTACCCGCCCCAGCTCCATGCCATCCTATTTAGGCAGGTTTTTGAGGCCAGGAGCATGCACGGAAGGCCGGGCGCATGCGTGGACGTGACACACACACACTCACAATTGCAAACCGGTAGGGAAAGTAAGTGAATACCACCCCTGGTATTCACTGGTACATGGGCTGACTAAAATGAGTAATGAAACAATAATAAGAAAATAAACATGTGTCTTCTCTTGGTTGTTTAATAAGGCTTCTCCTAGGTTGCTTACAAATTATGAAATATAGAGAATATTTTATTTGTAGAAGGGAGAAGTCCAGGGAACAAGTGGGACAACAATACCACTTAGTATTGGCTGGCACTGGTTCTCCAAGCATTTCCTGGCATTTATTTAGGGAGGCCAGCATCACACAGATCAACAACCCAGGAGGACTTTTGACAGAGAAAGAAAACTAAGTTGTTCTGTTTGTTGAATGCCTTTCACATATGCTTTTGGTTAAGAAAAATACAATAAGATATTGGGACAGTGAGCAGAGTTTACATCAGTCATTTACTGTAATCAGTCTAATGTTTCAGGCATCAGTGAAGTTAACTTGTTTGCATTTAATGTTGAAGTAATTACTCCCTAATTACCTCAATTTGTTTTCTTAAAAAAAAAAAAATAAGCCAATGCAATAAACCTTTCACTCTCTACATTGAAGGAATTTTTTTTGACACCAGTTTTAGTATAAGTTGCTCTAACAGCATAATTCCCAAATGTAAATATATCAGGTGTATTTCTAAATTGCCTTTGTCAAGGAGTAACCAGCACTAATCTGTCCTTCCTGGGAGACTCTAAAGAGGCAAACATCTTTGGGAAATGCCAAGTTGAGTCATCTTGCCAGATTTAGATATCTTTAATTTGTTTCTTCTTAGCACAAGAAATCTGTCAGCAGTCTTCTTATATTTTCTTCCTCCTGTTTGTTCATGTATTTTAAAACTCATTTAACCTCATTCTGCCCTAGTGATATTTTAATTCCAGTTCAGCTCAAGCTGACAATCATGATAAGGCTAGAAAAATGTTTACAATTGATTGAAATTTCATTCCTGATAAGCTCTGATCACCCAGAACTGCATAGCCAAAACTTTTTTTGTACCCTTCAGGGCTTGGAAATTGAATACTGATGTCTCTTTCTTCCCCTGACTCTAATCACAAAACTGCTCTGCTTTTGTTCTTATTTCCATTTGTATACTGTATTTTAAGTACACAGCTATATACAACTATAGGTACAACATTTTAAAATGTTGAAATTAATAATTCCTAAAGCAATTTGTGACAGAATAGAATTATATCTCTGTTTATTCTGTGTTAATCTGAACATCTCACATTAATCTAGATGCCACAATTCACAATTCACACAACGATCTGCTACTAGTGTTACTAAGAACTTGTGTGGTGTGAAATTATTACTATTTTTTTCAGTTAATGGTAATCCAGTATTTGTCCATGTCTAATACATATTAAAATTGGTTACTTAGGTGATTGTATCAAGTATTTGACTATTCCATAAATTAGGTCTTCAATCTTTGTTGTTTGTTTAAAACAACAGGTATAATATTATGTGGAAACAGAATATGTATCTACTGATCTGTTAAGAATCAAGTAAATATATAAAGTTATATATGAGCCACAGACAACAAAAACACTTTTTGGAGCACACTATATTTTTAATCTAAACAGTTTAAATTCAAAGTTTAGTATTATAAAAAAGTATCAAATTCTAAGTGACATTTTTTTTAAAGACATAAAAATTCCTATGCATTATGGTTATCTTCTCCTTATGCCCAAATGTCTGGATAAAAACCTATTTTATATTGCTCAAATTGAATTTGAATAAAGTCATCTAATCACACATTCTTAGGCAATTATAAATGCAGATATAAATACAATATAGAGACCAAATCAGAACACAATCACCAAAAGCTATTCTACATATTATTGAGCAAAACTTCTGTTAATGAATTGAAAAGAATATTGATCATTGTTAACTATCACAGCTATCCTCTTTACTTTTTTTTAATATATACACTCAGTTACTTTATCCATTTGGTCTCTTTGGCTAAAATCTGTCCAAAATATTAAGGTTTTCAAAACGATTCTTTCTTCTTTAAAAGCTTTTGGTATGAAGGACACATCTACAAATTCTTGTTCCTTTAAGGCATTATAGAAATTAACTGAAAATTCCTACCTCCATCAGATCGGAAGGAAAGGTATGAAAATTTGTAAGATCATCTCCCAGATGGCAAGAAAGATGCTCCAAGGGAGGGCTTGGCCTAATTTCATCTCCTTACCATAACTGTATATAATTTGTCCAATTTCTAGGTTTAACTTCAGAAGACCTGAGGCTCCTAAGGCTCCTAAATCTTAGCCTATCCATGTGTAAGAAGCAGCAAAGACGGACAAACCTGTTTTAGTTTCTTTGTCTCCTTATATATTATTATTATTATACCGACAATGCTGAACAAAATGTGTCCTTTTACTGCTATTTTGCGGCTTAACAGAATCAGCTCTGAGTGACAGAATGAACTTTCTTTCCCTTTACTGGCTGATTAAACCATCCCAAAACAAAATGATAGAAACTAAAATAAACATACTCCTGCCCTCCAGAAATTATAGGAAATTCAAGAAGACAAAATGTGTGTGTGTGTTTTTTTCCTCAAACTAGTGTGGTTGCAGTCTAGCTGTACAGCTGTATTTTTGAGAAAAGGTATCCATCTTTTCAACAAAGGCACCCTAAACTCTTTCTAAAATCTCTGTTCTTATATAAGGTGCATAAATCACCAACACTTTTTAATCTTTGATGTGGCTTTAAGAACATGCAACCTCAAACATAGATTATGTAACTTTGTGAGCTCAGTAGACTTCAGATCAAGCTGGTTCAATAATATTAACGGTTACATAAAAATAAGCAATTCTACTGAAAATGTGTGTGTGTGTGTGTATGTATGTGTATATATGTATGCACATACAAACACACACACACAAATATACATACTAGAAAACTAGCTTCTACAAGACAGAACATTATTCTTTTTAGAACAGATTAAATGCAAACTTTTACAACTCCAAGACATAGATTTCAGACAACAACAAAAAGGCACATACATTGTATGTGGTAATTGTTTAAAATAAGCTGTTACTACATTTTCACAGATTTTTTTTAAAAAAATGTCTGTTTAAATATCTCATTTCTACAAAGTGAATTTACATTTAAAGTACAAAGTGCAAATACTATGGTTGCTCTTTATTGACCTTTGGTGAGGGAATCTCCCACATGTCTGAGAGATCTGCCTTGGATATGAAGTGTTCAGCCTTGCTTCTTTGAGGATTGCTGCCAATAAAAATTTGAAAAATAGTCTTCAATGTTGTATGCTACAATAGTATACACAATGATATTAAAATAAGGAAGAACAGTTTTTACTAATATTTTGAGATGAATGTATTGTGATTAAAATAGAATATTCCATAGTGCTAAATGTATCACAACAGGATCTTGCAATGATCAGCTATCAATTATCAAAGGTTTGCAGTGCAAACAGTTCTCTCTTTTTATCCTTTGTTTCAACGGTAAGCAATAAAGCTTTTAGGAGAACTGATTTGCCTCTAGCTACTGTCATATTTGATAGAAAGTAAATCTGGTGGGTGTGGAAAAACTATTGCTTTCTTCTGAAGCTCTCAAAATTCTTTCTTTCTTTCTTTCTTTCTTTCTTTCTTTCTTTCTTTCTTTCTTTCTTTCTTTCTTTCTCCCTCTCTCTTTCTTTCTTTCTTCCCTCTCTCTCTCCCTCCCTTCTTCTCTCCCTCCCTCCCCCACCCTCTCTCTCTGATGTATAGCTGCAACTATACTCTGAGGGATTGACTCACTTTGATTACATCCGCCGAGCCCATCAGGTCTGGCAGAGAAAGTATGCTGTGAGTCCCCAGGGAATTACATTTGGTGGGTTCCAGGAATTGGAATATCATCCTCTCCTGTTTTTATGCTTTTTAATAATTATTTTTCATAGTACCAATATACTTTCTATAAGTTTATATACTTTTTTTTGGAATGTACATATATTTTCATGCATTTATTGTTTTAATTAAATATTGCATACTACCCAGAATTACTTTCATATGAGCTGAGCAGCTGTACAAGTATGATAAATAAATACTGGAGTAAGATTTGTATTTTAATATAGAAAATTCTTAAAATGAATATAAAAATCAAACCAGAGACTTTTTAAAAAAAGGTTTTATGGACAAGGAACTTGAAAAAAAATCTGCAACTCTCATGTTGTACATATTGACTGCTCTATATGCAAAAATGGAAAGATACATTAATTCCCACAATGGAAGAGTAGATTGCAAAAATGATGGAGCTAGAGAAATGGCCAGATTAACTGCTTTAATCAAAGAAAAGGGTGCATCCAATTTTTGTTTCTGCTTGGAAACTGCTTCTAGATTTTGTGCTTGAGACAGAAAAAAAAAATGAAACTAAGTTTGGGATTTACTGAGTAGAAAAGTTTGTTGTTACAGAAATAGCTAGTATATAGTAAATAGTTGAGGTTATAATATTATTACCCTTAATCTATTGTGCTAAAAAGAGTTGGAAGCTATGCTTTTTTTTTCTCTTTACCTGACAGTAAAGATTCACAGTCTTTTCCTTCTTCCTCAATTTTCTACTATCTTTATTTTTACTTGTGGTTTATAGTTTGAAATATAGTTTAATTAAGCTTAATTAAAATCATATTTAAAAAACAAATATGATAAATAAATACATAAATAAATTTCAGTCCATAAGAACAAATTCCATCTATAAATGCAATTTTCACCTCGTGCCTGGAGCCAAAAACAGACTACCATATATCATCCAGAAATCTCTATAACCTTTAAATACCTTTATAATTGCAGCTCTATCACTTTCTCAAGATTTAGGCTAGGCCTCTTAAGAAATGGGCAAACCATTTCTTCTTCAGAACTCCTGGAGCCTCTCCTTCATTTTTTTAAAAAAGTGTTGATTACTGCCTTGATTCAACTCTTAATCTTTTTATGGACACTTTAATCAGCTAGGTGAGTGAGACTGCACATGAGCCAAGATCACTTCCCTGAGATTCACAGGTTTACAGAGCTTACAGAAAACATAACAAGACATCACTTCTCCAATCTCAATTGATTCCATCTATTTGGCTTCCAACTGAAAGCAAATGCAAGTGGTAATTTCCATGAAATGTTCAACCAAGTTATTGCAAGTTACATCAATCAGTTATTCTGGCCTATATTTTCCTAAGAGAGGTGAGTCACATTAACAATACAGTTGGCTGACATTCCATAGATGCATAAATAGTGTTGTGATAAGAGTTGTGAAGCTTATAAATCTAATAAATCCCTCCTGATTGCAAGAATAGGCTTGAATCAGAATTGTCCCTATTTTGGCCACCCCATTTTTTTTCACTTTCTGATAGGGTTGCTTCAGGTTTCTCTTCATCTATTTCATTTCCCAAAGTTAAGTGGCCAGGTAAAGACTCTCCATTTAGGAAAAGGTCAGAAAAGTCCTGTGGAGTCCTTTGCACTTTCTGAGCTGGGTTGTTGCTTGCAGAAATTTCATTATCTGGCTAGATCATATCATCATTTCTCTTCTATTGGCAGGGCCGGATTTAGATGAAAAGAGGCCCTAGGCTATTCCACTTATGAGGCCCTTTCACCTATAGTGAAAGTGTAATTTTAATTTTGCTAACAATTTGAATGTAGGCCCCTCTTGATTTTGAGGCCCCCTCCTGATCTTGAGGCCCTAGGCTGAAGCCTAGTTAGCCTATAGGAAAATCCGGCTCTGTCTATTGGTATAGAAGAGAAATAAATCATATCATCATTTCTCTTCTATTGGTATATAAAAAAAACCTGTCCAACAATCTGGCCATATTTGTATTTCAGAACTAACAAGGTGTCCCACAGGATTAGGTTCCAACTTTTGAGAAAACCATGTGTTCTCTGAAATCAGCCCTTTCTCCCGGCACAGACTGTGCCTCTGGTTAATCACAAGAAAGGGATTGTTGGAAACATCCTCTGGAACTAGATCACATAACATACACTTCAAGTTAAAAATGAGATCTAATGTGTGGCCAACTACATGTGTTGTGCAGTTAGATTTTTTGGCACCTGATGTTCAAAAGCAACCTAAATCCAAGGTGTTCAGTAATCTGGATATCTGGTTTATGGCTTGAGAGGAGGCCCTGGATCAGAGAGTGCAGTAATTTTCTCTCTTCCCATGAACCAGTCCATGCCAACATTTCCTGCTATACTTCCTCTGGCTTATCCTTATTCTTATCTTCTCCTCCTTTTCCAATCCACTTAGTAACCTAGCTTCCCACCAATCAACCAAGGGCCAGCTAATAATGCTCTTATTGTTGTCCAACTACAACAGAGCAGAATAACCTCGCCTAACAGCTAATTACTATCATATCATACATGCAAACTTCATTTTCTAATAACAAAAAGTTGGCCCTCTTCAGCCTTCCATCCTGCTAAAATCAGATGCCCTGGTTCCAATTCTGTGGAATCAAAGGAAGCAGGGAGAAACCCATTTTCACTGTTTTCTCGCTCCAGGGCAGCTGCCCTCCTCCTTCAGAGAACAGGTAAATCTATCCTGAAACCTTCAGCATCAGGTACAGCATTTGCCATTCATAGTCCTATATTTGTGTGGATGAGACCTCTCTCAAAAGTCAAACTATAGTGAAAGTAAAGTAGTTCAGATCTCCTTGGTTACATCACTTCACAATAGCAGCGATGGTACCTCAGGCATAAATCCTTTCCCCCATCACCTTATGCAGAAAAGATTTTTTCCCTCCTCTGGTCAATTATATTTTAGCACAGTCCTTTTTCATAAATGCTAGTTTACTGAATGACGGCCATTCAAACCATGACTTCTCACCTGCAGTCTGAAAGTATTTTAGACCACAACTCTATTGCTCCAATTTACCACTTCATAATGTGTGTATTGAGTCTTGGATCATTTGTGCCCCATTCCCTAATGGAAACGGAGCTGATTGTTGTCTTTAAGGTAAGCAGTTCCTTTTTAAATGTTTCTTGTGAAGCAGATTCAATTCCAAAGCCTTCCTTTCAAGCGAGGGCTCTCCTAATGAAAGCCCCCTTTGGCATCTGTGAGGATCCTTTATGGCCTCCCATTGCTGTAGCAGTTAACTGCCAACAGATGGTTTGTACAGCTAGGGCCATTTCAAGGCTATCACTTCACAGGACGAGCTTTTAAAATAATTGCAAATGAGTCAGCAGAAATATTGGATCAAATAATTCTTTAAGAAAAAGAGAGAAAAGATAGCACTATTGCACTATATCCTTTACATGTTATCAGATGACCGGAAAGCTGGAAGAGGCCAGAGGGGAGAAAAATAAAGCCAGTTTTGGATTTGAACGAAGAGTAAGTCACATGCTCACAGCCACAACAATTACATAATCAAAATAAATGGCTGGGGCAGTTCCAGGTTCTACCAGAGTTAGGGTTTTCAGGCCACCTTGCTCAAAATGTAAGAAATGTTTAGGGAATTAAATCAATGAGTGATGTAGAAAGGAGTGCTTTGGATTTCTTCTGGATTCTTCCAAATGTGTGAAAAATCTTTACTAAATTCTCACTGTTTTAGAGAGGATAAATGTCAAGACAGTGGCAGAAAATGAGAAATAATCACATATAACCTGGTAGCTAGTTTCTCTCCTTGCAGAGGTAACTTTGGTAGTTACTTTGTGAATGCTTTCTCACATTACCCAACCAGGCAAATTCCAAATGCTATCAAGAGAATGGAAAAGTTCTCCCCCACCCTTCTTATACATACCTGCCTGTTAGAAGGAGTACTTTCAGCATGTCTTCTGGGAACTGCTGAGGAGAAAAAAGAGACAGGAAGTTATTTGAGAGTAAACGGGATTCTATGTAACAATTTAAACAGACTTTAAACCTTTCAGATATGCATTTAAGTTATCCCTTAGCACTAGAACTAGATGCTCTAAATTTGATGATCTTGCTTGGCTTGTGGGGAAAGTCCTGATCATAGAGCAATTCTTCCACTTAGTGTTGTGGCCCGCGGATCGTGGCTGATTCTGACGAAGAGGAGGTTGGTGTGGTGTCACGCCAGCAGCCTGCACAGCCAGCACTCGCGTTGGACAGCGAGGAGGCTGAAGACGATGTGGTGCCAGAGGCAGAGATTCAGCCAGGGCCTTCAGAACCTCCAGAGGCTGCTTCAAGTGGAGAGAGCAAAGTGGAGGAGCCTCTCCTCAATGCTCGAGAACGCAGGGCTGCCAAAAGGCAGGAGTGGCTACTCAGGAGGAGGAGGTCTACTCGAGAGTAGGGCTTGAGGATAATTGGCCACTCCCTTAGCCTATTTAAGTCGCACACAGCTAGTGCTTTCTTGCTGGAAACAACTCGTATTTATTATCAGAGTATTTTGGTTTATCATATCTTGTTTTCTGGGCTGGTTGCCAACCTTTGCCGGTCTTGTTTATTCTTGCTACTTAATAAATTTGATAAGGACCATTGGTGTGTGTCAATATCCTTGGAAATCCGGAGCTGGGGCAGAACACTTAGCCACCAAAACCTCAGACTGAAACTAGACTGGAGATTCAGCTGGGCTAAATCGGGAGCTTTGCTAATTTTGTACTTTGTATATTATACTAGTTTTATTTGCTTTATGGAATTCCAAAGGTTTTTATTTCTTTTAACTATCAGTTAAATTTCATGACACACCATAAACTTTTAGTAAGGTGCTTTCTCCAACGCTGAATAGTGCCTGATAGGAACAGCATACTTTTTGTAGATGCTCTTTTTCCGAATGCCAGATGAGATATCTGGCCAAAACATTCTGCCTTTAGACATTTGCTAATTTCCAAAATTTATTTTGCTTTTAATTGTTTTAATGTCTGTCTTTACCATTTCTTCTTCTTCAAATGTTGTGATGATAAATGCCACTTTATATGCAGCTCAAAAAGCACAATTCACACTCAAGAGGAAGATATTAGCTAGGCTGGGGAATATCCTTTTTGCAGAAAAAACAACAATGTTTAACCTTTTTTCAAGTAACTGGAAAGATCCCCAAACAAGTCATTAAGAATTGAGCTGATTACTGAAAGTGGGAATAAAACCTGGAGATGAACCGAGGGTGAAATAGAGGCAGTACCAGGAGGTCACGATAAGAAGTCATCCCTCAAAGGAGTGGAATAGTTTTCAGACTTTGCTAACAACCATTCTAAATCTGGATTACAAATAACTCATTAAGAAATAGAAGAAGCAAACTCAATTCCATTGATGTTGGCCAGTCATCTCATTTAATAGCAGCTAAACCAGTATTTTTCAACTCAGAAAAGTATGGGCTTGAACTCCGAGCATGCTGGCTGGGAAATTCTGGGAGCTGACCTCCAAACACCTTAAAGTTGCCATTAAAAAAAACAAAAAAACAAACCTGAGCTATATAGTACAAGAGCTAGTAAGGAATTCCACTTACTATGACGTTTCTTTGTATCTGCTTTATTGTCTTCTTTTGTTACACCTAGGCAACCCATTAGTTCCGGAACGGTCAAAGATTTGTCATTGTTCACATCACAGTATTCCACAAACTTTTTCACACACTTTTTGGGCTTGGATTTTTTCCTCAAGAATTTCTTAAAAGGTTTGATTTCTTTTTTGCCGATGTCACCACTAGCATTTTTATCCAGTTGCTTAAAATACCAATGAACAACTCTTTCCTCCAGGGTATGGTTTGGATCTGGTTCTGAAAGCCTTCAACAAAAGAAAGAGTTCATTAATTGGTTAAATGATGAAAAGGGCAAAGTAACTTTTTGGAAAGAGGAATTTAGGACAAAATTGAATGTAACTTTATATTTGAATTCAGTTCAATTAATATAACTGTGTGTGTGAACATATGAGTGTGCCTTCAGGTCAGGGGTGACTTAGTTCCTATACTTTTCTTGGCACCGTTTTGGGAACGTGGTTTGTCATTTTTTCGGTAAAGTAGACCACAACATACTTCTTGGTAAGCTAGAAAAAGTGGGATATTTGGCATCACCACCTGATGGATTTGTAACCAGCTGCAAACCGTACTTAATGAGTAGACCTTAATGGTGCTGCATCTACATGGAGGGAAGTAAGCAGTGGGATACCACAAGGTTCTGTCTTAGACCCAGTACTCTTCAATATCTTCATAAATAGATGAGGGAATAGCAAGGGAACTTATCAAATTTGCAGATGATACTAAGGTGGCAGGAATAGCCAACACCCCAAATCAGGGGTCTGAAACCTTAAATACTCAAAGAGCCATTTGGACCTGTTTCCCACAGAAAAGAAAACACCAGGAGCCACAAAACCTGGATGGGTATGGTCACTCACTTCCACCAGTAACATGACCCCCTAGCCATGCCTACCCAGCCAGTCATTAGGGCAGAGAACCAGTTGTTAAAAAACACTGGGAACCACAAAATCCTTTTGACATATCTCTCTCTCCCCTCCCTCCCTCTCTCCCCCCTCTCTCCCTCTCTCTCTGAATTTCTCTATGTCTCTCTCTCTCACCCTCTCTCTGTATCTCACTGTCTCTGCCCTGGCCGCTTCTTCATCCCCCGCCATCACCCTTACCTTCTCCGGCCAGGCGAGGAGTGACTGGGAGGGGAGTGCGAGGGGCGGGGCCAGCCAGTGGTGGGCTCACCTGACAGGGAGCCACAGCAGAGGGCCCAAAGAGCCACATGCAGGTCCGGAGCCGCAGGTTGCTGACCCCTGCCCTAAATGATAGGCTCAAGATCCAGATTGATCTTGATAGACTTGAACCCTGGGCCCTATCTAACAAAATGATATTCAGCGTAGAGAAAAATAAAGTCTTACACTTAAGCAAGAAAAACTAAAAGAACACATACAGATTAAGTGAAACCTTGCTTAATAGCAGTAACTATGAGAGGGATCTTGGAATCCTAGTGGACAATCAATTAAATACAAACCAGCAGTATGTGGCAGCAGCCAAAAAAGCCAATGCAATCCTATGTTGCATTAACAGAGGGACTGAATCAAGATCACGTGAGGTATTAGTAATGCTCTATAAAGCCTTAGAATATACCTAGAAACCTAGAAAACACCTAGAATACTATATCCAGTTTTGGTCACCACACTATAAAAAAGATGTTGAAAGAGTACTGAGTACTCAGAGTACAGAGAACAAAGACGATTAGGAGCCTGGAGGCTAAAACATATGAAGGATGGTTGCAAGAACTGAGCATGGCTAGTCTAGTGGCTAGTCTAATGAAGCGAAGGACCAGGGGTGACATGATAGCAGTGTTCCAATATTTGAGGGGCTGTCACAGAGAGGAGGGGGACAATCTTTTTTCCAAAGTACCCAAAGGCCAGACAAGGAACAATGGATGGAAACTGATCAAGGGAGAGATTCAACCTAGAAATAAGAAGAAAGTTTCTGACAGAACAATCAAATAATGGAATGGCTTGCCTTCAGAAGATGTGGGAGCTTCATCACTGGAGGCTTTCAAGAAGAGACTGGACAGCCACTTTTCAGAAATGGTATAGGGTCTCCTGCTTGAGCATGGGGTTGGACTAAATGATCTACAAGAAGATCCCTTCCAATTCTGTTATTCTGTCATTGTCTCCTTACTAGGGCTGAGAAAGAGGGACTAGCTCAAGGTCACCCAGATGGCTCCATGCCTAAAATGGGATTGGTATTCCTGGTTTCCTGGTTTTTAGCATGGTGCCTAAACTTCTATCCTAAACTAGCTCTCTAATTAAACATGACTGCTCATATTTTAAACATTTTTTCTTTTGGTCAATTCAAAACAATACTTTTACAGTAGCTTCTGAAGGTCTCTGGATCTCACCCAAAGCTTTGGGGAGGATGACCTGGAGCCTCAACTTCTATGGAACTAGTTTAAGTATTTAAGAACTACGCTACATTCCTCTTCATTACTATCTCATGCCAAGAGATAATAATACACAATAGAATATGTACAAAAATCGCATGGGAAAATCAATAAACTGTAGAAAAACATCTTTGCAGATGAGGTTGTCCATCATTTGTCTTCTCTCCCATAAACTCTTGAATGACTGGCGTGGGAAAAAGATTGGAAATCTCAAGTTAATTTCTCTTCAAAATATTTTAAAAGGTTGTATTGTTTGCTTTTATGCCTACACTTCCTTCAGTTCTATATAGTTTTATTATTACACTCAGTAGGACTAATTCTAGAATACATGTGTAGGATTAAACATTTAATGTTATTAAAGCAAACAAGTTATCATATGCATCAGTACATCTAATTTCCATATTATAGGCATGTTCTGAATAAAAAATATGTTCATTGTCTCTGTTTTTTTAGATCACATTTGCCAGTTACTGTGACCTATGTCTCAATTCTGTTTTTTTAAGTCCAAAACACAAATGAATTGCATTGTAAATAACTAGATAAATTATGGATTTTAAATTCATTTGGTTTCAAGACATTTTCATTGGGAAATAAGAGTTTGAATTCAACTTAAATAAGCCGGTTTTGTAGGACCTTTACTGCTAAAATATTTCTTCCTCTCTTCCTCCTTAAATCAAATTTAGTTTTTTTTAAACAGTGAAAGATAAACTATATTAACAGAAAAACATACAGTACAGTAGTGGTGATACAATGAAAAAAGAACTTGCATATATTACAGTGATTAAAATAAATTAATAAAAAATATTAAGAACCTAATAATAAAAAACAAAAAAGATCCACATAATATCAATTTAGTATCAGTATGGAAATAATTGTCTTTAGGTTTCCTATTGAATCAAGATGAAATAAAAACAGATTGTTCCATCTCCCATCCATTTTTGAATATAAAGACTTTTCAAAAACATCTAACTCATACGGTATCTTGAATCTTTTCCTTAATATCAGGGGGCTGTTTCTTTCTAATTGCTGAAGAATATCATAAAGCTTTTCATAAAATGGCAATATCCATAGTAAAGTTTAACATTGCATTTACATCTTTAATTGTTATAGCTTTTTGACAATAATATTTTAATATATGTTATGATTTGAGACCAAAACAAAGCTATGGCTGGACAAAACCAATTCATATTCAGTGCTAGAAATTTTAGTAAAATTTCTAACAATACCATCACAAAAAATATGATTTGCAACTTTTTAAAAATGTCTTTGAAGAAAATAATATTTTTGGTCAATTGACTTCTTTTTTAAATTATAAGGCACATGTTTTACGTTTCTTAAAATCTGGACCCACAAGTCTGAATACTTCCTTTCTTCATTCTACAATTTATACATATAAACAATACTAACCTTTATTCTATTTTTCATTCCAAATGAAATTGAATTGTTCATTTCACTTTGTCCATTGCAATTCTTAAGGTTCTTAAGTTTTCAGGTATTAATGGGGCTGCTAAAACATCTGGAATGTACTGTTTTGTCAATCTCCCTCCCTCTCTCCCTCCCTCCCATAGCCTACTAGGATTCCCAATGGTTTACAATAACAACAAAAATTCTAAAAACACAATTAAAACTGAAATAATACCACAAATCCAAATCTATAATACAAACAACAGATGGCATCTCCCTACCCCTCCCTAAACTCAATTTTACCAATCTCCAAAAAGCCTTCAGGATGGGCACTAACTTAGCCTTAAGAAGGTGGCTTTCAAAATACAGGGCTGCAGCAGAAATGCATATACCTTCATGTAAAAATATTTGAGTTTGGTTTTTCTCTAGCCACTCTTTTTTCAGCAACTTAATTTGTAAAAGTGTTTTGTTATTTGACAGTTGGCAGGCAGCAAGTTAAATGTAGATTTAATCTTATTTAAGACTTAAACTCATAATTAATTATGTCAGTGAGTTTGTTTTAAACTGATGAATTCTGGATCTTACATAGAAATCCTGGCCAACCTTCGACAAAACACACAGAGATGTACTAGTAGACCCAAATTTGTCTTCTTACCCACCACTCTTCCAGAGTAGAGTCTGGGATCTTTAATTTCCATAGTCCTATGGCCCAAACCCAGCTAAGAGTACTTCCCATTCAATCTGGTCAAAATTGAGTTAGTCATGAGCAGATTAAGTTGCTTTGCTTTCAAAGCATTTTACTTATAAGTAATTTTAATTGGGACTATGCTCTGCTAAATTTTATTTTTACTGCTGACATTTCTGTACCATTCTATTCCAAACAGTCTTGAACAGTATACAACAACAGAATAAAAACAGCAGGAAAAAAAATAATAACATAAACCATACAAGAGCAGATACTTTATATTCAAGTTTGCTGCATTAAAAAAAAATCCAATAACGATTACTTTGTGTTTATATGGAACAAATTCATACTATTATTTTATCTAGGATAGATGAAATGTAGACACTAAAAACAACAAAAGCATGAGATGTTATTGTGTAAAATACAGTTCTTATTTTAGATGAATTATATAGTTCTTTAATTTCTGTTATTGCACCAATATTTTTCAGCCATTTCAAATGGATTATCAGTGGATGTTGTGGCCTATAATTAGCAAGGGAATGCTGATAAACACCACAGAACCAGTGAGAGAAGTGAAAATAGTTTGTCCGACAGCAAAATCCTGCACAGGTTTTGCAAAAAGGAGGAGATGTCCACTCCTTTTGGGAAAGAAGAACCCACCTGCTGGAAGACACTGCAGGATCAGAAACAGCATGCACCATATCTGTGGAAAGTGCATCTAGAACACTGGTCAGAAATTCATTCTTTTTGGCACCTGGACAACCTAAAATGAAAAAAAAACCTATCCTTTATTATTTGCATTAGTTCAGTTTGCTTTATTGGAGAGCTGCAATTGAGCTGGAAAAGGAATATCATGGTGTTGTATTTTAGGATTGCTCTGAAAATGACCCTGGGTGAATCATCTAAGGTTCAGAGAACTTCCATAGAACAGAGAAGAAGTTCATATTTTTATAAAATGAAGCTGCTCAAGTTATTGAAGTTATAATGTTGCCAAAGATAATTTTTACTGAGTGTAATAGAAATGTTTTATAATTTCTTACATCGGTATGGTTTTGATGACACCACAAAGACATATTTTGTGTAATCTCAACCCAATTTCCATCAAGAGGAATCTTCATATTCTGTTTGCTCAAGAACTCCATCTGTCCCTTTTTAATCCTAGAGAAGTTTGTCCTTCAAATGGTTCAATAACATTTGGAGTTTCTCCCACATTTTTATTTGGTGCTGATTGTTCAGTTAACTCTTCTCTTGTCATCGCCATCCAGCTCAGGTTCCACCACTACCACCATCCCTTTTCTTTTTACCTTACCCCCATCTCCATCCTTTTATTTTCTTCCCTCTGAGTTTTTCTGCTAAAAAGACAAAGTATCTTTACATGAGGGACTTGTGTGTGTCTCTGTGTGACAGGGATTTGTGAGAGTATGTGGTTGGAATATGCATATGCATATTCCATATACATATCTAAATCTCAACCAACAAATTCTCTGTCTTACACATTGGCAAAAAAATAAATAAATCAGAACACAAAATATAAGCTGGGTGGATATGACCTCGTAGATGACCCTCACTCTGTCAAGGACCTTGGAGTACTCATCTCTAATGATCTAAGTGCCAGAGTTCACTGTAACAACATTGCCAAAAAGGCATTCAGAGTTGTTAACCTAATCTTGCGTAGCTTCTTCTCTGGTAATATTGTACTGCTAACTAGAGCATACAAAACATTTGCTAGACCAATTCTCAAATACAGCTCATCTGTCTGGAACCCGCACTGCATATCAGACATTAATACAATCGAACGAGTCCAGAGATATTTCACGAGAAGAGTCCTCCACTCCTCTGCTCGCAACAGAATACCTTATGCCACCAGATTTGAAATTTTGGGCTTAGACAATTTAGAACTTCGCCATCTTCAGTCCGATCTAAGCATAGTACATAAAATTATCTGCTACAACATCCTACCTGTCAATGAATACTTCAGCTTCAACCATAACAATACACGAGCACACAAAAGATACAAACTTATGGTAAACCGCTCCAAACTTGATTGCAGAAAATATGACTTCAGGAATGCATTACCTGATTCTGTGGTTTCTTCCCCAAACCCCTAAAACTTTAACCTTAGATTGTCTACTGTTGACCTCACCCCATTCCTAAGAGGTCTTTAAGGGACATGCATAAGCGCACCGGCATGCCTACCGTCCATGTCCTAATGTTCCCTTTTATTTGTATCCATTTTATTTGTATCCATTTCATGTATTCATGTATTCATAATCATGTTTATACTTATATCTGTTATCTAATACATGCTTGATGAAATAAATAAAAATAAAAAATAAATAAATATGGAGAATCAGTTAAATTTATAAAAGAAATATTTTTTCAGTACTTAATTAGAAGTCATTAATTTCAACACTACAAAACATTTCTTCTTCTGTTCTGTCTTTTTGTTTTTAGTGTGGATTTTAAGTTTACATACTTATATAGTGTGAATAAGAGTGTGTGTTTGTGTATGTGTAAGTAAAACAAATGTTTATTGGCTGGAAGAGAAATTTCCTAGATAGGTTTTTAGATGGAGTTGGTGACCCTGGATGAGCAAGAGAAGAATAATTTTTATTTCCAATCTTGTTGGGTAGAATTGTGTGTTTCTCTTAAATTCAAGATTATCTTCTTTTCAAGTAAATGTTATGTTTTTTTATTCATGTAGTTTTTAAACTTATTAGGGTTTCAAAAATAGAAATAATTAGAAAATAATTTATAATAAATTATTTTATCAGTAATAAAACCTCTCTATAAATCTACATAGCAAAAACCATAGAGCAGCTAAAGCCAACAAGCAGGAAAATGGAACAGAAGGCAGCATAGATTTAATCAAAAGTTCACATAGTTTTGGGCAGATGCATGCATGCCATTACATCTTCAGATGATTGCCAAAGACAAAGTCTTTAAAGCATAAATATTTCAAACTAATGTCTGTCTGTTTGCTTACAACAATACATTGCAGTATGTTGCTTATTTACTGAAGTATGTCTTGGCACCATTTAGGATAAGGCCAAAAAGTTGTTACTGTTTTGATAAAAGGTAACTTTGTGAAAAATCTGGTGGGGAACACTCCTCTACCACCAACCAAGGTTGTAGGATCTGAGAGATCCAACCAGGTGCGTTCTGATGGAAATGAGAGAATCAAAATGCTGAGTACAACCTGACACTTTATTTTTGAAAGCAAGCCCATCTAAGAACTACAAATGGTTGGGTTACAGCAGAGCTCTCCAAATCTATCACTAAGATCTCTGAACAGACAGTATGTCTGACGCCGAATGTTCCCTCTCTACAATAGGAAGTTGGCATTGCCAGGGGTGGGGTGAAGATTTCCTGGCAAATCAGGTGGAGCTGGCCAATTCTGCCAAACTCTCTAGGGACAGGATCGGACTGGAGCTAAATCAGCACAAGTCACCGCTTGCTTCACTGAGCTTAATCCATAGAGTTCCCTTGCCAGATTCTCATTCATCCTTCTTGCAGCTCATGTAGTAGATAACTTGTAAAATATAGTTCAGGCTTTTCTCAACTTTTGTGGGTTTGATACTCAAGGCATATGCTACTGATATCTGTTGTACCTCTTCTGACAGCAAAACTGCCAGACTTTTCCGTATAGGCAGGATCTATTTAGTCTTCACAATTATTTATTGAAAATTCATGCACATAATTAGGGAATTAATATTTTGTATTAGAGTGCTGTAGTAAGTAAAGCAGACTCCTAACTTATTTATAAAGCTTATTATTCAAACTGTTTGTGTCCTTTTCACCTACATTTCTTATGTTTCTCCATAGGGATGCAGATAGTTCCTTACAACTATCTGGTCTAATCTCAGAGTTTTCAGTAAAATACATTATCAAAATCAATAGATGAACTGGTAGGATTGGCATTCATAAGAATCTCAATATACCTTAGCAGGTTATTACCCAATTGTTCTACCAGAATTAAAATATAATAGCACATACACACACACTAACATATATTAGCGCACACTAATATATGTTAACATATACATATATACACGTGTGTGTGTATGTATATACTGTATATAGTGATATATACAGTATTTTGTTAAATATGAACACTATGCTTTCCCAAGCTCACTTTCAACAATTGGTAAGAATATAATATATTTATATCTGAACTTAGTCAAAAGACTGAGAACTGAGAAGTGGGGGCTTAAGTATCAGCCTAGAATAAATCTAGTATTTTGTCCCTTTGTGTTTTCTCAGCTGACCGTATTTTTTTAATCCTATACTTTTGACTCTTGATGTTTCTGTTGATCCAAATTAAATTATATTTTTCTATAAACTAGTGAATTTAAATTGGACAATTCTAATTCCTAATGATGTCATACTGAGATATATTCAGGATATTAAATATGAGAGCTAAATGTTTCTGAGGTATGATGAGGTAGCTTTAGAAACTTTCCCTCCCTTTTTAAAAAAACTAACAAGAAAGGACATCATCATCCTCATTATCACCGTCATCATCTTCGTTCTGATTTGGAGTTTTTACTGGTCTCATAACCCATAAAGTTTCACCAACTTGCAATATTAATAATTATTAATAATTATTAATATTTATTAATAAAACATGTCCTTATCATAAAAATTATGGTAAGATGTGGCAGTGGAAAAATATTTTATGTTGAAAGTGTACTTATTCTGTTATTCATAAAGGAGAATATTTGTAGCTCAGGGTTGACATGAAGAGTCCTTCCTGCCTTCTGAGCTTGCTTGTTTTCTTGAAGACATTTCATTACCCAAACTAGGGTAGCACTGATGATGTTACCTAGTTTGGGTAATGAGACATCTGCAAGAAAACAAGCAAGCTCAGACAGCACCAAGGACTCATCAGTTATATTTCAGTTTGTCATGTCACAATTGAACTAGCTTGGAAGTTCATCTGAAAGGAACAAAAGGCATGGTTTTGGATTCTTTCCACTCCTTGTCTATCCAGCTGTCATATAGGCATTGCAAACAGTGATAGTGAGATTTATGTTAAAGAATTAAAAGAAAAATTGATTCAAATAAACGGAATTTTAAAAAAGAATAGAGAATCCATAAAAACAACAGAACAATAAATGATGAAATGCAGGCAGTAGATCTTCTGAGCATAATTCAGCAAATGACTTTTACTTAGAGTCATATTTATCAACCACCTGTGACATTTTTGCTTCAAATATCCCAGGTACTGAGCTCAATAGGTTGCTCTACATAATTTCCTTTTCTTTCTTTTCTTTTCTTTTCTTTTTTTTTTTTAGCATCAATGATTATTTTCCTATTCTTCAAACAAGTTCTTCTAATAATAAATTTGAATGGTTGTCTCTAGAAGAAAAATGGGGCCAACAAAAATTAAAGCTTTCTATATATTTGGAGAACTCCCCAGGGGCAAAATAGTATATTAATTCATTGCATTTATTTTTTTAAAAAAAATTGATTTAAAGAATTCCACAGTAAATAATCTGGAGGAAAATGTATGGGGCAGGGAATGTATAATGAATGCATGCATAAAATACAAAACAAAACCCAACAACACCAAATTCTTTCCCTCTCCAGTACAGAGATATATTGTATAGGAGGAAAAGGATATGTTTCAGAGCTTCCTCAGCTAAAAAAAAGAAAATGATGACATGTTCATCGACAGGACCAAACCTGAATTCCCTTTAACATTTTAACACTTTTTTATTATAATGTAATGAGAAGCAGCAGCTTTGTGTCAATCAATCC